ACCTACACATTGATTATCTTATAAAAAGTTGAACTCTAGGATATTTCTCCTCAAAAGGGCAAAAGTGTATTTAACTATTGAATGTAGAAAAATGTTATATAATGCTCTCATTAAGCCAATTCTTGAATACTGTTGTATTGTTTGGGGTAATTGTTCGGTCGAAAACCTTCAAAGGTAGTTACAAGTACAAAAACGATGCGGGAGATTAATTTTGGACGCCACCATCGACGATAGTTCCGTTGAACTTTTTAATAAATTAGGCTGGTTACCTATTGATGAAATTGTACGCGTTAGAAAACTTTGTATGCCACATAAAGTTAGCCAAGGTCATTTTCCTAAATATTTTAGTTCATATTTTAAATATGTCAGATCTACACATGGTTATTGTTAGTACTAGATCTGCAATCTGCAACGATGTTCTAACACCATCCTGTAAAAGAAACTCAGGGCTTAGAACTTTCCACTCAAGTCTATGTAGGCTATGGAATAAACTAGTAGGTATCTCATTTAGAAACATAACTTCCCACTCAAATTTCAAGATAACGTTACTGAAAAATTTTATTCAAGAAAATACCTCCATAGAGCATTTTAAGATCAGTAGGACATTTTAAGTACAATTTTAGTATTATGACTATTTTATTAGGTATTTTTATATTTAGTAGGATCTATTGAGGGCCATTATGTAAACTACCGGGTAACCGGTAATAATGTATTCTACCCTCGGTAAATAAAGTGCTTGTTTGTTTGTTTGTTTGTTTGGTGTAGATTTGTCGGTCCGAAGGGCTGTGTCTTATTCCCGGCTCATCAGAGGGGTGGTCTGGTATTTTAAGGGTTTTTTTTTTTCTCTCTGATTGAAGTGCGTATTTCAAATGCATTGTCAATCCCCTAATCATGCCTCCATTACAAGTCTTGAGTTTAGGAAGTCAGTGCTTAAGGTATTAGTTGAGGGCAAATCCTTCAGGAGAGACACATGAATTCATCGCATCCTAGTCTCTATTCCAGATATCAGGTTCAACCATCACCATTTCCATCAGCTTATCAGTCATGACACCAGAGCTACCTGTAAGATACACATTCAAGAAGTGAAGACTACATACACCTGTGCTGATTGTGGAATTAGAATGTGTCCAGAACCATGTTTCAATAGGTACCACACACTACAGGAGTACTATTTTGATGACGACCGTTAAAATGGTCCCAGACCGGACTGAAAAAGGGAGGAGGGAGGCCTTTTCTTAGGGGAGGAAGGAGATCACTGCTAAACTAAACATGTCAGGGTTGGTTTAATGTATGCTTCGATGAAATCTGTGAAATATGTCATACTATGGATGATTAGATTAGGATTTGCTAAAATTGTTTCTCTTGTCAAAACTTACATAATTTTACCTTTTCACTTGTAATTATGTAGCTTATTTAAGTGCTAATTTGCTAAATGTTTAGTAGGAAGACACTTTTGCAGCTTGTTATCTTTTGAACTGTAACTTGTGAATGATCAG